GATCCAAGTGATAATGAAGAAACAAGTGCAACTAACGAAAAGAAGGAAGGTAAGAACGATATATGTACAAAAGATACAATGGTAATCCGTACAGTTGGAACGCTTAAAGGACAAGAAGATTTGGGAGTGGAAAGTTTAATAGAGAATACATGAGAAGCGAGGCTACAAGGCAACGATAAGCACATGCTTTTGAAATTGATACCATTAGAAAATATTACTGGAAAGGCAGAACGTTCGATCAAGTATATGAAGATAAAGAGTTTCGAAGATCTACATGATGCATTCAGCACGCATGTGACTTCACCAACAATGATATCAGCAGCCATAGCGCAACTGGCCAAGATTTATCAGCTACAATGAAAATATTAATGATTATAATATCCGCTTTAGAAAAATACTCAATGAACGAAGGTATGTAGTTCAAGACAAGCAAAAAAGTGCATTCAACCGAAGAACAATAGAAGAAGAGGAAAATACAGCCACACAAATTAATACCTTAAACATTAAACCTGAATTTGGAAAGATCCTGATGGAGAAAGCGCAAGGAAAAGCAATAGAGTTTGAAGCCAAACTTAAAGATCAATATAGATGAAGGAACTCGTATTAATCGTCCACAAAACCAAATCTACGATCAATGGATATGAGGAAGTCGAACATGACATTCTAGTCGACAACTACATTTAAACTAATGACTAAACCAATTGAGAGACGAGATCTACCCTAAAACGGCACACCTCTCGCTGAGGGGCAGAAGAACAAATGTTAAGTTTAAATGCTGGCTGACAGGACACTTGGCAAACTAGTGCCAGAAATTGCAGAAGCACCAGCAGAGAAAGCTACCACTCTACAAAATAATCAGGACGGACGTACAACCACCGCAAGGAGAGGACTGTGGAAAAAGCAAATTCGACAGAATATCTAGATTTTGATGTATTGGAAGAAGCTTCAGAAGACTCACCAAAACGCCAGCGAAATTACTCCTGAACGCAGGATCAAGTATTAATGTAATAAAGCATGGGGAACAAATAACCCAATAATAGAAAAAAAACATGAAATTCTAATGGGATATCGATATTCATAGATCAGAATTCGCTAAAACTAAATTTAACGAATTAGGAGAGGAACACTTCTTCCGTGTTGTACTCGATTCCTTCTCTATCCCAGAATATGGAATAAATAGCCAAACCTGTGTTCCTAAATA